AAAAAAGAGAAAGAAAAAAAAATAAAAGAAAAATAAAAAATAAAAAATAAAAATAAAAAAAAATCAAGATTACAGAGCTGCAGTATTTTTAAAATACTCACTTCTCAGAGTCTTTACAATGTTTATTATCAACTGTGTATTTCTCACAGTGAGAATAACATAACTGTAATAAGTCATTGTCTTAATATCATCTAATAAATAATCAGTATATATCTATATAAATGTGAATAATTAGAAAATATATACTTAAAAAGTGTGATCAGGGTAGACTCTGCTGCTACTTGAATGATATCAAGAGCAGAATACTGAAATTGATGATTTCTTTCATCAATTTCATGAACAAGGCATGTGAAGATAGTCTTGAGAAATATAAGATTCTCTGACTTCTGATAAAAACAGATCTCACAGAGAGACTCTATTTTCATTATATCAGAGACTGAGTATTACTAAAAAGTATTACTTCAATGCATATACACTTACTATGATAATTCATTCTCTGCACATGTGATTAATAGTTGCAGCTTTCTCATACTGCACAGCTCTCTCTGAAATACTGTCATCAGTTTACAATCCACACAGTCTCTCAGTTCAGCATATACTGTGTATATGCAGTTCTGAGTGCTGAGGCTGTGTTGATTATTATGATCTGATATGATACTTGCTTTTCACAGGCCATGTTTTATTTGATTGAAAGGAAAGAAGGACACAACTGCTGTTTTATTTAAGAGAGAATGAGTAATTGAATCTGTAGAAGATAATTTGATTTCTTCTACATTTAAAATTTGATTAGTCTATACTCTTCAATTTGAGAGTTTCTGAGAGTGTTTTAATAGTTTTCATATCAGATTGAAATTAGTGATTAATTGAAGAAGAGAAAAGAGAGAAGAAAGAAATAAGAATAACTTATCTTTATAATATGAAAACAGAGAATTGCTGTAATTATTTATTCTAGTAATAAAGATCTGTTTTCTGCATGTATCTCTGATATAGATTATATAATAACTGTATACAAAGAATATCAACAGTGCATGTATTAAATGAAGATGATATTACTATGTAACACTGTAGCTGTTTCTGTACATCACTGAAAGCTGTTAATATTTTCTTTAAGTCTCTTTATATTTGATAAGTTAGTAATATATGTCAATGCACTCTTTCTTTCATTATTATCATTATCATCATCATTATTATCATTATCATTATCACTATCATTATTATTATTACTATTATCATTATCATTATTATCATTATTATATTATTTCTAATCATCTCTTCTGCCTTCACTTCTCTTCAACACTCACTGAAATTAATCATGTTATTCTTCTTCAAATATTCTGCAGTTCTGCAGATTATCAAGATACATGAGCACTGTCACAGATTAAAGAGAGAGAAGAAGAAGATGTTTAAGTAAGAGAAGACAGATTATAAGACATGTTATAATATCTTAAAGAGACTCTGTAAGAGAGTAGAATAATAACAATTTTAAGTAATACTTCTGATAGATTTAGACTGAACTAAGTATAGAAATAATATGAATGATGTTGTCTGTGAGAGATTGAAGAAGAAGACAGTGAAGAGTCTTATACAGTAGTAATAAAATCAGAAGAAGTTCTGAGAATAATTTAAAACTAAGATGAAGAGAGAGAGAGAGAAGAAGAGTATTACTGTAAATAAGTAGTAATAGAAGAAGATTAAGAGAGTGTTAAAGTAGAAGATAAAGAAGTCAAAACTGATAAGTTTTTTATTTATTAAGAGATAATAATTTTTAATAACACTTCTATTCTCTAATTGATTAGCAGAAGCTGACAGAGAAGAAGAAGATTAAGATCTTATTCAGGTCTTAAATGCACTTCATAATTTGAAATATTAAGAAGACAGCCCTGCTCTCTGAGTATGTTAATTTACTTACTGCTGAGATGAAACCTGAGACAGCAGATCAGAAAATGCAGGATTTTGAGACACAGATTAACCTGACTGAGAGAAAGCAGTGAAAACTCTTCTCTGAGAAGATAGTGAAGAGAGATTTTAAGATGATTATCATCTCAGATAAGAAGAAGAAGAAGAAGAATAAGAAGTGAATTATAGAGAATAATAAGAAGAATAAGAAAGAGTAGAAAGATAATAAGTAGAAAAAGTTTTTTTCTTTTTATATTAGTTAGTTATAAGTTCATAATTATTAATAATTGAAATTAATTTTGAGTTTTTAAAAATTATTATACAAGTTGTAATCAAGTCAGGAATAATATATATATATATATATATTTAACTATCATGATTCACAAATCACTATAATGTATAAATATCAACATTTTTTCAACATTAATATTCATAATATTAATATATTTTTAATAATATTATCTGATAATGTAATTTAATAACACTCTCTTTTACAATATTAATATATTTCAAGAAATATAACAGAGATTAATTAAGATTGTTTATTTACTTTTATACATTGATAATATTCAATCTGAGTTAGTACTAAAATTATAACTAAGCTAAGAAATAAGATTATTTTCTCTTATATTAATTCTTCTTACACACATCAGTGATCAGTTATTGAAAATAAATTATTATCTTTCTTAAATTATTATTATATCTTCTGAATTCACTTCTTTTACTTCTTTTACTTCTATTGAAGATTCACAAACTCTTTAAGAAATCACTGTAAATCACAAAGTCTATGTTATTTATAATTCAACACAGAATACTCTCTTTCAATTATAATAAATAATCACTTCATTCTTCACATCTGATTCCAGGTCACAAAATTTATGAAAAACTCAACACAAATACTGAGATGAACTATGAAATAATTATTAACAGATTACATTACAGATTACTGAAGAGTCATCTCTCTGCTATAATCACTGCAACTTTATTCAGAAACATTTATTATAAACTAATTATAACTCTGAAGAAATTTTCTGATATCTGAAGTTATCAGAATGCAGACAATAAAAGAAAAATAATCAGAAAATTACTACTGAGCTGATAAGTTACTCTATCAGATAATGATTTTTGATAATACTAACTTTCTAATTTGAAGAAAATTATATAAAAATAATCATATATCAGTACTCTGATTTCATAACTCTTATCTGATAACTTCTGTGAATAATTACTTTGTATATATATATCTCTGAATCTTTCTCTTTAATCAATTAAAAACTCTGAAATCTGAACACTTCTTTAAATACTTAATTCAAATCTTTATATTTCACATTAATTCTGTCTTCAGTTCAATCTCAAGATATATTATAAAGTTAATGTACAACATCTAGAATCAGAGTTGAAGAATCATTGAAGAGTGTCTCTCACAGTGAATGTATAAACTAGTATAAATAATCTTATATTTATGAAAGTTATATGTTATTACATTGAGAAGAACTGAACTTATTAAGAGACATTAATTGAATTTGAATCATTGATCAGTAGTTATACTGAGAATTATATAGCAGAGATATTAATGACTGTGATTAAAAATGACTATTAAGATATTAATCTCAGTCTTCTTACAATTATAACTGATAATGCTGTGAATAACTACACTATGATGAAGAGCTTGAAGCAAAAATTGATTTTTCATTTCTGAAATAATAAATAAAGTCATATCTTCTGTATTACTTATATAATTCAACTTGTGATATAAACACTGATAAAGAAGCTTAACATTGAGATGAAGAATAATGAGATAGCTGATTATTAAGATGAGAATGAGATGAAAGTGATTACTCAAGTAACTTTTACATTTACTTTATAAAAGATAATATTTTTTAATAACACTTTTTAATATTGCTTTTTGATAATACTTTTTAATAATACTACTGTTAATTTTGAATAGATTGACTAATAATTTAAATATCACAGATTTGAAACATTGCTAATATGATTTGTATCTCCTCTAAATAATAATAACAATTTCATGATATTCAATAAATAAACAAATTAGTCACATCACTGAATATGATACAGAATGTTAGAATATAATAAAGTTTAATATATAAGATAACTGTTCAGACTCTTTGATTATATCAGATAATTAATTATTAAGTGCAACACTCTGATTGAGAAAAGATTCAGATATTGAAACTTTCTGATATGAAGTGAACTCAGTTGAAATATGTGATTGATTTACTGTTTCAGTTTTATAAAATAATAAAGACAGTCTCAATCACTTATACATTAATGCTGCAGTCAGTCTGATAAGTGTATAACAGTTTATTTACTCATCTTGAGAAGCAGTTGAATCACTCAAAAAGAAATTCAGTCTGAGATAATGCTATAGTGCAGGCTATTATTACTGTAAGAAATAAACTGATATATTACTACAGCAAAACTGAACAATCTTTTACAGAGTACTATACTGTAGCAGCTCTACTAGATCTCTTCTATTAAGTTAATATCTACACTTCTCAAGATTGAACAGAGAAGAAATCAGACTTATATATTAAATTAATCTGAGACTACTACAATATCAACTATCAGAGATTTGAATGAGCAGATGTTCAAGATATGAAGACAGTGAAATACAATTCTCTAATAAGTAATAATCTTTGATAACACTTTATATTACATAGAACTATAATACTAACTTTGAAATAGAACTTACATATATTGATTATAATCAAAAATCAGACAAAACTATATACTTGTAAAACTGAATTTAATCACTATCTTCAAGATAATCTGATAAATTTACACATTAAATCAATTCTAGAGTTATGAAAAATTATTGAGAGTATATACTCAACTGTTGCACTGATAATGTATAATATTCTGATAATTTCATTGACAGAGATGAGAATGAAGTGAAAGTTCAACTCAAGTTGAGATATTTATCACTATCACTGAAGACAATTATAAGAAGAAATAATCAAGAAACTCATGATTATAAAACATAGAATTATCAGACAGTTTAATACCTCTGATCACAGTATATCAGAGAAGTGTAGTTTTCATAAGAAAGTGAAGAATAAACTTGTACAAGAATGTATTTAGTTGTTTCATGAGTGTTATTAATAATCATTACCAAATTCTGATTATATAAGCAATCACTGAATGAACTGAATGAGACTGATTTTAATCTTCAGTTTCAGTCTTATTCTGATTTTGAAAGAATGATCATCTTTCACAGTTTATTCTGAGAAATTACTTTCATTTCACTGTTCTTGAATTAAATCTGATTATTTTTCACATCATTTCTCTCAGAAATGATTCATTTTCAGATTTTTTTGAGGCTTGATTCTGATGAGACTCATGCTAAGAAATGTATAAGACCAGATCAAATGAGATCAAATGTGAAATTCATAATCCTGCCGGCCAGTTTAATTCCAGTCAATGTTGTGATAAATGACATTAATGTTATACACAGAGCAGTAGAGAAATCAGAGACATACACAGTGTTATTACAAGAGCAGCTTGCAGCTCTTAAATCTCTTATAAATCTTGAGTTTTGAGATTTCCTTTGTTTTTGATATTTTTTAAGTGATGTGATGTTAAAAATAGATTAAACATGTGATATATGAAAATGAATAAGATATGTATGATAATATTTGTCTTTTACAGCTGACTCTTACAGTTGATGACTAATTCATTATCTCTTTTCTTTTTTTATGCTTTTTCTTTGTCTGCTAGTCACTACTCTTATATAATCTCTATATAATATAGTATTCAGTGACTAGGTTCAGCAGCTTTCATCTTGTAATTCTGTCTCATGTGTTATACTGTCTCTCTTCACTCACTCAGATCACTACAGTGAACAGCTTATTAAAACTAATCTCATCTGATCTCTGAGCATTCTCAGAGATCAAGATGACTTAATCTCACATATTCACAGATGTTTCAGATAGTTCATTCTCTGTGATCTCTGTGATTGAACTGATGTAAACAGTTAAATTCAACTCTGAATCTCTTTTTCTTCTGCAATCTGATTCACATACAAGTCTGCTGCTTTGAGACTGCTCTTTGTCATATTGTATTCACTGTCTACAGCATGTTATTATACAATCAGCTACAGTCTTATCATTTATTAAAGTGTGATATTTATCTGATTTCTCTATTATCTTTTATTCTTTTCTTATAATTATGAAAAGATCAGAATAAGTGAGATTATCTGATTTATAAGCATCTATGATTTCTCTTACTTCATGAGACTTTTCAATTATAAGTCTCTTCTTTTTCAACACTGATGATAGTACTGTGAATAATTATAATCTGCTCAGATCTTGTATCTTTACTTTTATAAGTTATGAATTATTTATTAAGTTATGTAAGACTCATCTCTCTGGTTCTTTCAATGCATATATTCTCAAAGAATGTGATTTGAGTATTTTATATGACTCAAATTATCTAGATTGAAACTTCTCAGAACTCTCATTGCATACAAGAACTTATATTTTCATCTTGAGACTTGATTTCTTAACTAGTGAGTCTTGTATTCTTTTCAATTGAATTGCTCAGTTCAGAAGTAACTTATTAGCTTTTACACATGTGTGACTGATCTCTTTCAATCTTGATTTCACATCTGTGACTGTTGCATCTATAACTGCTGTTCTCTTTCTTCTCTCTTCTGAAACATTCTTCAGAATGCGCGGATGCAATTCATACAACAGGTAGAATGATGAATACTTGAAGACTGTATGCTGTTGAATCTGTGTGATCAATAGCACCTGTCTAAGATATTCATCTCATAGTCTCATAGACTTGCTCACTAAATATTTCATCAGCATATTGCTCAAGATTTCATTCAAGTGTTTCATCTTTTCATTTATTCACAGATGATATAATGTTGTTCTACAATATCTTGTCTGTAACTGGTCTATAAAATGTCTTATCACTTCTTCTACAAGATTCACACTGATATCAGTTAGAATCTCATACAGCATTTCATAGTTAACATAGATCTTATTATGTAGAAACTTCATTATCATCTTCTCTATTATCTCTGAAACTGCTTTCACAACTAATCAGTTAGTAGTATAATCAATAGCTGTGATTATTCATTGATTTTCATTTGATATTCATGATAATATGTCTATGAGATTCATCTTTTATTGTTTGAATGATTGTATTATACACTTTATCTGATGTTATACTTTCTCACATTCTAACTCTTTCTTAGATTCTTTCACAACCTGATAATTCAGACACTTATAAGCATACATCTGAATGTTCTTAGCCATGCTTGATCAGTATACTCTTGATTTGAGTACACTTATAAGTTCAGAGTTTTCTAAGTGACTGAATTCCTTGTGCATGTGAGTTATCAAGTCACATTTAAATGAAGATTCTAGATAGAGAGCTTCTATATATTCTAGATTGCAGTAAAGTATAACATTATTTTCTAATTTTTTCAGCTTGAAGTTCAGAAGCATCTCTTCTACTACTCTCATGAGACACTTGTTATTTAACATCTTATCATTCTTCAAGTGAGAGATTATTATATTCACTCATTCTGATTTCTTGCATTATTATTATTATTATTATTCTTCAATTATAGATGTATGCAGTCAGAGACTATGACATCTACCTGAGAACTTTAGTTCTCAGGGTTTTTTCTATGTCTGTAAAGTTAACCATTGTACATTCATCAATTTCAGATATGTAAAATCAGAAAATTCCAGCCCAGAATACAAAAACTGTTTACAAATTGCAGTGTTTTAACATCTTTTAATACTTTGAAACCATTTGACAATATCATGACAAAAGAAAAGAGAGAAAGAACACAGTCTCAAAGATAGACACATTAAATAGATAGATAGAAAGAAATTGAAAGGAAAAGATACAGAAAAAGATAAAGTAAAGAGAGACTATAACAAAACAAATTATTAAAAGAGAGTGTATAGCTGTTTTAACAGACTATATCTGATTGATTTCCTTCTCTTCATATTCAGATAATTCTGAATTTAGCCATTTTCTTGTAGCTACTTGAGTTTCTGATAGAAAGTCTATTAAGTATTTAATTCCTGTCTCAGTTGAGAATAAGAATCTCATATTTAATTGATTTAGATCATACTTCTCTTTCAATCTGGCTCTGAGACTATTGTATAATGCACAGTGCATTATAATATACTCAGGGTTCTCATTTGTATTGCAGAATGAGCATTCTATTGAGTCAAATCTATCATCAAATCTTTGTATATAAGATTTGAAATAGTCATGTCCTAGTTTCAGCTGTATTATAGATGAGAATATTTTCTTTTTACATTTAATTGAATAAGATTTTCACTTGGGTTTTGTTTCAAATCTTGAATAATGTATACTCTTCTTTTGTTTCTGCCAGCTTTCATTCCACTTGTCTAAACAAGATTCTTTTATTTTTCTCTTTATAAAAGACCAGGACACAATTTTTTGAATAGATCTGCTTAATTCTGCACTCTTTTTTGCAGCTGAATCAGCCAATTCATTGCCATGAATATTCATATGAGCAGGAACCCAGTGCAGATGAATTCTCAGCTTTGATGTTCTTCTCTTTTGAATTTTTAAAACAGAGTTTAAGATCAGTTCAAGATTCATTTGATCATTATGAATCTGACTATTTCTAAGTCTTTTTAAAGCAGCTTGACTATCAGAGAATATTCATGTCTCTTTCAAACAATTTCCTCTTTTATAAGATTTTATTTCAATGAGTTTGAAAGCTTTCACTATTGCAAATAGTTCAGCATCAAAGACTTCATATTCAGAGTCTAGATTTCAGAAATCTGAGATAAAATTAATATTATCTTCAGTATAAGCAATGCCTGCATCTAATCTATTCAAGTTCTCATTTTTTGAGTCATCTGAATAAATCAGAATAGAGTCTTTTATATTGATTGTAGAAGTTCTCTTCAAATGCTGTTCATATTCTTTCTCTTTTGATAGTTCACTTATTTGTAAGTTTATAAGAGATTCAAGCTTTTTTCTCCAGAGAGATAACTTCTCATGATCAACTTTTTCAACATTTAAAGAAGAAAATTGATTTTTAATCAGAGAGCATAGTCTGTACAGTTGAGAAGACATTTTCTTTGAAGAATTATTTTCATTTCAATCAAGAAATCTATTTTAATCCAGTTCATTTCCAGAGTTAATTGATGGAAATGAAGAAGAGACTCTTTCTCTGATTATATAATTTAAGCTCATCTTTACAACTCTCAGAGCATAGTTCATACAGGCCTTTTCAAATCTAATAGCAGGAGGAGGAATTGAAGCTTCAATTTCCATTGCTTTAATAGAAGATGATTTGAATGCTCCCAGAATTCTTCTCAAGGCTCTGTTTTGCAGACTTTGAAAGAGTTCAGTGAAATTCCCTTGATTATTTCACCAAACTTGAACTTCATAATCAGCTACTGATGTAATACAGGCTATATATAACTGTCTCATAGCCTGGAAGAATAGACCTCTCTCTGTATTTGATAGTCTGATTATGTTGTTCAATAGTCTTTCTGCCTTGACAGTTCTTTGTTGAACATGATATTTAAAATTCAACTTGGAGTTTAATCATACTTCTAACCATTTGACATTTACACTGGGTTTAATCTCTCTATTTAAAAGAATTAGAGATAGTTCTTTCTCATTGAATCTTGAAAAGAAGTGAATTAACTCAGTTTTATTCATATCAAATTGAATTTGATTGATATCTGCTCTAACAAAGATTTTCTTTGCAGCTTCTTCAATTACTTTCAAATTCTCTTTGATAGTTTTTGAGCTGTAGACTAGACCAATATCATCCATATAACTCAGAGATCACACTATTCTCATATTTCTATTTTTGAATAGATATGCAGTGTATATTACAAATAAAATGAGTGAGATTGAAGATCTCTGTGATACTTCTATTTTTATCTCAGTCTTGTCTTATTTCATTCCATCAAAGAAGAGTTGTATAATTCTTTTAGATATAAAACAGTTAACTCATTTTATTAGAGAAAGTGACAGTTTTAATATCTTCAATGTCTGAATTAACTTTGACTTTGAAATATGATCAAATGTCTCTTTTATATCAATAAAAACTGCAGTTGAGACCAGATCCTCATGCTTTGCTATTTGAATATCATGAACAACTGAGAGAACAGTGTCAATTGCAGAACACTGTTTTCTATCTCTCATTTATTCACTGAATAAAAGAGAATCATCTATAGAGCTTATAAAAGATAGTTAAGTAGCTATTATCTTTTCTAAAACCTTTTCTAGGCAGTTCAATAGAGATATTACTCTATATGACTTAGGAATTGAAGTTTTTCTATTAGATTTTACAAGAATCACTTCAGTGGCTTCTCTCCAGCATTCAGAATGATATTCATTTTTCAAGAGATTGAAAAAGAGCTCAAAATACTCATTCTTTAAGTAGGAATATGTATTTTGAATAATCAAGTGATTAATTGAATCAGGACCTGCAGCAGTTTTAACAGAACTTGAGAAGATAGCTGACTCTAATTCATCTTGTGTAAGATCAGGCCATTCCCAGTCATTTTCATCAATGTAGTTGAGAAGTGATATATTCTCTTTCTCTGAATCTGAATCTGAATCTGATGAGTTCTGAAAGAGAATTCTCATGAAAGCTTGACATTTTTTCTCAAAAGAGTTTGCTGTATATGATTCATTCTGAAACTCATATTCTAGAGCTGGAAGTTTTGCTACACTTCTTATTTTAGTATAGTTAAAAGCTTTAAAAACTTCCTTTTCTTATGCTTCTTCAAGAAATTTATTTCAGCAGTCTGTTTTAGCTCTTTTAATATCTGAAAAATATTCATTTCTGACAGCTTTGAACTCTTCATCAGATATTACATCATTCTTTCAATCTCTTCTAGCAGAAGCTAATTCTTTTCTTTTAGATGAGATATTCTCATTTCATCAAGATTTTGAATACTCAGAAGATTTTCTTTTTAAAATATTATCTCTAACACTTGTTAGAATAATAGATGTAATAAGCTTCACTCTATTCTCAAGCATTTCATTTGAGATATCTTGATCAGAATTTCAATATAGCTCATTCTGTCTTTCAGATTTTAACAGTTTTATACTTTCTTTAACTGCTTTTCAATCAGCTTTTTCAAAGTTATACTGATTAGAGAGAAGAGGATTTTCACTCATTTGTTTTTCACTCAGTTCAATATCAAATTGAATAATCTCATGATCTGATCCTGATATCTCATTTGAATTAATAAACCAGTTTACAAGTCTTCTTTTCATTAGATTTTGTGACAGGAATGTTAGATCTATAATAGACTTCTGTTTCATGCCTTTTCTAAAGAATGTTTGTTGATCAGACTTATTAATCAAATCTATTAAATGCTCAAAGATTTATTTAATCAGATTATTAGCTCTCACTGCTCTCTTGCATTCTGAATTTCATCAGAGATGATGTGCATTGAAATCTCCTGCAATTATAGAGTTTCTTGATGAAGTTATGTTCAGAAATTCTCTATCAATTGTCCAGATATTGTTATTTTTCTTCAATGACTTTTCATTATAGATATTTATGAGCTGTATAGTATCAAACTCATTTTCTTTATCTATAATATCACTCACCAGAATATCAGGGTCAGACATGATATTAAATCTTAGATTAAATTGATATCTTGATTTCTTTCTTTCATAGATCACTACTCTTGACTTTATCTCAGACTTTTGAGATAAAAAGCAGTAGTAGCTTGAATGAGAAATGACATATTTTTGCTCAGCATCAAAATTCGGCTTCTGAAGCAGTATAAAATCAACTTTCTGTTCAAATGCAATCTGAAGACAAGAATAAATGCAATTTGAGTTTCTATTCACATTATTTTGAATAAATGTGATTTTTAAAGAGTTTTTAAACTTTTTTTGTTGTTTTTGTTGTATATTCATACTAAAAGAGAGTAGAGAAGAATCTAATCACTATTATCAGATAGTAGATTATAACTGTTCTGAAAAGTAGAAATCTCAACTGCTTACATTATATCTAGTTTATCATCAGAGTCATTTCTCAATTCTCTAATCTTAACAGAAGTTTGAGAATTCAAATTCTATTTATATTTCACTAGAGAATTGGAGTTCAAAGACTTAGATAATTGAGAGTTTCTTCTTTTTAAGCTTGCAGTTGTGAGTTTACTGGCTTGACTCTTCTCTTCAGTTCTAGATTGACTTTGAGCTTCATCTTTTCTTCAGTCCTTTTGAGTTCTAGGAGCAACATACATTCTTTTGAGCTAGATGCATGTTT